GGGAGTTGGAGACGGAAAGTACATGACTGTGTAGATATGGTAGGATGTATGTTAAATGGGAGGATACATGTAAGCTTTCCCGTATTGCTCAAATGAACATAACGAAAGCTAATCTGGCCCTGTGATAAAAGCCGTATTACAAATTGGACCCGAGATACAAAAGAGCGAAATGAACTTAAACACCTACACCCAGCGACCCATTTCTTTCAAGATAGCAGCCCCAACCATGATCACACATGTGCCTGTCTGGATGAAACGCGTCGACTCGTGTTGCAGGGCCGAGAGTCGTGCTCGGTTTGATAATGATAACGAGCCTGTCCGTCGGGATCACGATTAGTCGACCGATGAAACGGCGTGAGCGGCAAGCGCTTAGGAGAATTAATGACGAAAGTGAGCTTAGACGTGATCTCCAACATCAGCATGCGAGACATTAAACTCGCGACCGACGTAGATGTTATCGTCTTCGTACTCGGATGTGTTTCTCTTATGCGAGGGCGTCGTCGCCGTGCTGTCGATGCCCTTGCCCTTGCTCGAGCACGTGCAGACACTCAATTGTCGACTCTTCTCCGTTGCAGTGTTGCTTGCGTTGCTGCCGAGTGTCGATGCGGGCGGCGAGCGATAGATTTCGCTGCGAATGAGCTGGTGGTGCGAGTTGGGCTCGCGCATGGCGACTACTTTGTCGTTGATCACGCCGGCCCAGATGGCGGAGAGTGGAAGGAAGATGCACACGACTGTCAGGGCTTGGGCGCCAAGCTCGGGTGTGTCGCGGCGGAATTGGAAGCATGAGAAGATGGCTGGACATATTAGTGAAGTGGTATTGGATTGAGTGAGAAGGGTTGCGTACCTGGGATCACCATTGTCTGGCAGCCCATGATGAAGACGATCTGCATTGGTCCAAATTGAGGCATGTTGAGCTTGCGGCGTTGGAGGATGGCGTGGCCGAGCTTGTAGGTGAAGACGCAGCTGTAGAGCCAGATTGCGACTGCTTGCATGATGTACGAAGTCGAGACGAGATATATGTAAGGCTGCATGGATGCCCAGTTGAGAGTTTCCCGGATGGTGAGAATGACATACGCCATCTTGAACCCTGTCGCAACGCAAGCCACGATTGTGGTGACGCCCATGATGATGAAGCGGTGGATGGGCATCGAAGTGACGCACACAACCCAGACTTGGAGGCTGAGCGAGAACATGACCAGGATGGAGACGATGAGGGTGAAGATGTTCGTGGCAACGGAGACCGAGAGATCATTCTGCTTAACGTGGCTGTAGTCTCCAGACATGAGGGTGTATGGATGCATCATTGCACTCGTGACGTAGCAGCAGAACAGAATGCAGCGGATGGCATTGGTCAGAAGACACGCGGCGTTGATGATGAAGATTGTGGACTTGCGCTTCTCTGACCGCGTGAGGAGAAGGAGGACCAGGAGGATAGCCAGTGATGCGCCCACTTGGGATCCGTAGTTGATGCCGAGACGGCCAGTGTAGATTCGCAGTACGTCAAAGTCCTCGACTGTTACGTTGGCGCTGCCGCCGTCCGGGGTGCGAAGGACGATTGTCTGCTTCCATGGGTCGAAGTCGTCTGGTAAAGTGCTGGCCTCCATGCTCATGGTGATCTCCTGGATAGTATGGAGAGAGGAAATGGAGACTTGCTCTGCCTTGCTGCGCGGGTTTGAGGGGAAGAGTACGGCGCCTTCCGTCACACCACGTGCCGACCAAGTAAGGTCCGGGAAGATTATCTGGTGGATGTCGAGAATAAAGAATCCGGAGCTAGTTGCGAAAAAGAGAGGGTCTGATGGCCGTGTCGAGACTACGGTTCCAGAGATGGGCTAGGAAGAAGAGATTGGAAGGTTGACGAGCTTGAAGGAGTGAGAAGATCATGCAGTTCACGAAAGGAGAAGAAGTATTCGATGAGTTCCTGCCCGCAATATGAAGCTGGAGCGTATGATAAACATTGTGGTTTTCGGGGGAAGGAGCAGTGGGTGCGACAATAGCAGGCACCGCAGACTTGGCCAACCCAGTACCTCACTCACCTTGACTCGGCTCTAGACGTCGTTCACGCCGCTATCACAACGCTCGGACTGGAGTTTTGAGACAGTCGAAGCTCTTGCTATTGTTCTCCTCCTCTTCACTTGCCAGCCAAACGAATGCTCATCGACTAGTGGTAGTTGAAATGACCATCACACATCACAGTGGACCTTCGAGATGCCCCTGTCTCTCGCATAGTCGGCGAAGTGCTCCAGCTTCGCTTGAATGCTCTCCGTCGTGCTGTTTGCGGTCTGTGAAGTCGTTTGTGGTGGTAGCGCGATATTCTTACTATTGTTCTCTAGACACTCTAATGTTAACACTACGAGACACGCGCTTGGCTATAGGCGATAGGCCATCCTGAACGCTGAGAACGAGCATCATATCCACTTGATATCGGATGTAGGTCTCTGGTGGGAGAAAGTCTTTTTGTGATGCGGACGAAAGCATGGAGTCGTGGGGGGAACAGATGGAAGGGCCGAGCAAATTGGGCTTAGCGTGACGCTAGTGCTGCACGTCATCTTCCCGTGACTACGCGATTTCCCAGACCACCGCCACGACGCGTCGAACAGCACCTGAAAAGTTGCAACATGACCTGGACGCTGCAGGTGCCCGGAGGCGACGGGTCTGCCAGCAATACTCGGGATCTTCCCAAGGATGGCACCGCACATATCGTGATATTGCGCGGCACGCAGACCCTCGCGGTAGTGCACGAACTGAAGCCTGTTGTGCACACCGAGCTCGGCCGAATCAGTGGGTTTTATGCAGCTGGGTAATTGCCGTGCAAGACTGACCGTTGCAACAGCTACTGGCGTATTCGGTGCAAAGCTTGAGGCTATCGAGCATTCCTTGATCATCAAGCCCGGCCACGGGACAAATGAGCCACAAGTCACTGCATACGAGGTGCTGCCACGTGTGGACGGACGTTCTGAAATCATTATACTCCGCAATGGAGATGCGATTAATTCTACAGCCGCTATAGGCTGCCTCAAGTGCAGTTGGACGTCAGAAATTCAGGTCAACTCATCCGCAGCTGATGCGATGCCCAAGCCTACCAGCATCTCTGACGGTGTCGCTGAAACCACACCAGAGGAAGACACTGAGGACGAGGATCTTGATAATACGATCACCGCGATGAACACAGCGCATCCTAGAACCTATTACCAGGGCACGCCGCAGCTATCCAATCAGAGGTCCGTCGTAGTTCAGGAAACCCCGACTGCTGCGCGGACTAACGACGTTGGCAACTACGGAGAAGGGATGAACGGAGACGAGACCTTGTCGGCACCAGAACTGACTCTTCAGACGAACGATGCAGAGCATTATTCTACTGCTCGCACTGCTACGTCGCCAGATAAGCAGACGCATAATGAGCACTTGCCAGATGAGCGGACAGACCCAACGACAGTTGTCGAGTTCGAGGGCGGCACGGTGGATAGCGTTGCTACGACTGACAGCGTCATTGGAGGTAAATCAGACGATGCACCTCAAACGCTCCGGCATCCCAGAGTGTTGATCTCACGGAAACATCCAAGTCCTGCGGTCGAGGAGCAAGAGGCCGAGATACAGATCGACCGAAAACGCGCTAGGAGAACTATACCAAGCGATACTGATACGCAGGATAGTCGTGCCAGCAACATCATCGTTAGCACATCGCCAGTGACAGTGCCAGCCAAAGGCAGAAAGCGGAAGTCGGTTGCTGCTGAACCAGCCAATGAGGCAACTCCCTCACGCTCTCAGCGATCACCAACGACTCCAGCTGCAACTTCTGATGAATATGATGGTGCCCTGCCTTGTGTCGCTACCAGCAGCTCAAGTCTGACCGACAAGAGTCAAGCGGTCAAGTTTCTGAAAAAGCAGGGAGGCTCTTTGGTCAGTTCGGTGAAGGAGGAGTTCAACGTCCTTTGGTAAGCACAATAGCCACTGACTGGTATTCATTCGCTCACAATCACAGTGTGAGAGACGGCGAGCTGCACAAGACACCCAAGGTTCTCCTTGCGATCGCTAATGGCACGCCCATCGTCACAGACAAATGGCTTCTCGACTCAGCCAAATGCGGCAAGTTCTTGAATGTCAAGGCATACCTGCCATCTGTACCCAAACAGGAGAAAGAGTGGCAATTCAATTTCCTCGATGTGGCTGGTCAGCCCCAGAAGGTGTTCGAAGGCTACACGGTTCACTTCACAAGCAGTCTCTGTTCAGCCTACAAGACGTTCGCAGAGATTGAACAAGTTTGTAAGGCCGCAGGAGCAGCCAAGGTAACTAAGAAGAAGATGGACAAGAGCGAAAAGATCATCGTGCTCGCTGCGGAAGAAGATGCAGACGCAGAGAAGCTGATGCATGACGGCACCACCTGCTACAATCGCGAGTTGCTGCCCATTAGCATTCTACGCGGCTCCTTGGACCTGACAAGCGAAGAGTTCAGGGTCGGCGTTGCCAGCAGTGCATCGAAACCGAAGCGCCGGAGAAAGAGCTAGGGGCAGCTGACCCACTTGCGATCGCTTTAACGTCACGAAAGTTACTTGACAAGCGCTGATGAGACATGATATTCCTTTCAACAATGCATAGCGAGCGGAGCGTTTGCTTTCTGGGGACGATTTGAACGCGACGCAGTCTTGGCGATGTTTAATCCGTATATGAGGCCACGCAAGTACATCCAAACATCCCAGAAGTCCTCTTCTTTTGCGTTTCGGACATGGCCCCATAGTGGCAAGGCCTGTCCTCGGAAGAAATATTATGTGTCTTCCACGCCGGAATTACCCACAATTTTATACCAACCACCCCCGCCGTCGTCCAAATAAGCGAGCCAGTCCCACCTTCATGCAAATTGCTGCCCACATACCCGCAATGCCCCATAACTACCTTGAAACGCCTTTTCAAGGGCTCCTTGAACAGTGTATATGGATCATTCTTTTTTGATGCAGCTCAAATCACGTGTCAAACAGCCACAGCAAGTCGCATCAAGCTTGCTCACATCCTCCGTGGCGCAATTGGCTAGCGCGTCTGACTGTTATTCAAGAATACCAAATCAGGAGGTTGAAAGTTCGAGCCTTTCCGGGGGAGCACGCATTTTTGCTTGCGCTGATTGATGCTTTTTGTAGGTTTCATTCAAGAAATTTGAGGTAGAAAGGGGTTCTTGTAAGGGATACATGGTTTGACTCCGGGATAGCGAACGCTTTGGGTTTGTTTTCGTGGGCACAGGTAGGTGGATAGCATGAGGTGGTAGATTATGATATGTGCATGGTGTGATGTGTACCGGGTGGAAGGGTGAGTGTCAAGACGGGCTGGATGAGACGAGCGAGGGCGGTCAGTTCAGCCGCCTCGTTGAGATCAACACGGCTCAGCTTATACAAAAGCCACATCTGTGACATTGAATCTGTCTGCTGGTAGTAAATGCACGCTGTGTTGAGTTTCGCTCGATTCGACATCAAACCCGGCTTGTCTACAAGAGCACCTCGTGATTGCTAAGTACTGAATGGCCTTCCGAAAGGAAAACTGCGGCCAATACACACTTACGCTCGAGATATGGCGTAGCAAGCTTTCCGTACTTTGTAAGCTGCGTTGCTTGAGAGGAACAACTAGTCTGGCAACGGCGCTCGAGCGTACGTGCGCAATGTCACTGTCTGGCCGGTGAAGGGCGAAGAGCATTGGGATCGACCTGCACGGCCGACCAAACAGAAGGGTGACAGTGAACAGACGTGGAAGGAAATCAAGAGAGTGTGGATCAATAACCTGAAGGAGTGTTAACATGAAGTCATTAAGGAGTGGGAGAAGCTGGATGAGTGGAGGGAGAGAAACTCGAACAGGACGGATACGGTGTGACCGTGGCATCCAATTGTATGAACAACACGGTGTTCGGGATGTGAGCGACAAAGGGTCTTTTATTCAGGGGTAAAGGCAAGTCCCCTCCTTCGAGGCTACCATAAGGTAAGCCAGTGGCCTTGATAGATGTCACCAAGAGTGTTAAGATTGGCTGCGCTTCTTTGTCTTTCATGTGATCGTCTCAACTTCTATAGCTTCATTTGTCAGTTCGTTATGTTCTCGCGCTACTGCTTTTGGTTTCTCTTGCGATATCTTTTCCTGCAATCGGTATTACTTCCTCATGTATCATTTCCCAGAAACTCAGAATCTGAGATGTTTTGTATTTCCACCTAGTCATTTCCCAACTTTCCCGCATCACAAACTCTATGCCATTTCAAATAACGCCAAAGAAATACCGGGCCTTACCAACGCCTTGTGTAAACCTCATTCATTGCATCGAAGCAGATCTATCTAGTCTAAGTATAGACTCCGGGTCTAGTTGTACAATCCTTGTCCAAACGACATAACGATACGCCGGAACCGACCATTCCAGACCAGCTGAGAAAGTCACACCAACCCCTCAGTATCTGGTCGTATGTGGCATATGATTCTCCTGCGTCGGTTCAGTCCCCGGAGGCATCGCACCTGCATGCCCTGATCCATCCGCATTACTCACTGGCGTTCCCTGCGTCGTTGGCGGAAAGTACCCATTGCCCTCGAAATACCGCTGCTCCTCGCCTTCCCCGTCCCTCCCAGAATCTCCAGCTCCCATACCAACTATCGAACTAGCTCTTGCCCCAACTGATCCCGTGATATACGCATACTCGCTCCCTGTCGTCGCGGACTGCGAGACTGGCATATGCATATACGCTCCCTCTTGCGCCTCTTCCGTCTGAGAGACAGGTACATGCATATACGATCCTGCCGCCTGCATCTCCGCCTGTGTTGTCGAGTTGTGCAACGCTGGATCCAACCACGGTACCCAAGCCGACATCGGCGCGGAAGTTACTGGCTTAATCGTCAACATCCCAGCAGGGATTTGCCTTGAATGAGGAGTTTGGGTACGTACTGCCGAAGTCCGTGATCTGGAGTTTGATGAAGAGGATGTGCTTGAAGTCTGATTCTGTGTTGGTTGGGATGAAGATGGGGGTGGTGCAGAGGTAGGTGGAGTTTGGAGTTGTTGGGCCTGTTGGTTTGCGATGGGGAGCGGAGAGGAGAAGACGGTTGGGATCATGATATTGATTTTGAAGGGTGGTTCAAGAAGGTGTAGTGAAGGCCAACTAGAAAGATAGGATGGAACCAATGCTCTGAACTGTCCTGTGATGAGAATGAATATATCATTACCTTCTAACTCACCTTATATACTACATGTCGCCAAATACTCATCTACACGTTCCATACGATAACTATCAAGCTATTTTCAATCCAAGTCTACATATCCAATTCCCCATCAAGCATAATATCAACATGACCAACTCCACACCCATCTCACTTCCCATCTCTACACGCGCTATCTCAGCCATGACAGCCTCGCCCCTTCTCTCCTCTTCCCCTAAGCAGCACTTCTTCAGCAGCACTCACTACTCCCGGCCCGCCGCTTATGCCAAAACGTCAGTCTAGTGAAACCACAGTCCATCGAATCCCATCACATAAGCCCTTTGCCGTGAGTCGGTAATGCGCCTAGCTTTGCTTGCCACGTGCGGGAAGCGTTCAGCCGCAGGGCTTGGCCAAACGGATTTCCGGATTGGGAAGAAATCTGGTAGATGGGGCGGGACTTGGCGTGGACGGAAGTGCGGCTTTGGTGCGCGGAAAGGGAGGATTAAGGGCGGAATAGCGGCATGGATGGGAAGTAAGAGAACAGGTCCGTAGGGAAGAGAAGGATGAAGAGGGCGTGCTAAGGCTGGCCGAAGGAGGGATCGGACACGATGGATATGGGTTGCGGATGCTGTACGAGAATTATGGGAATGTGTGAGATATCCGACGAAGCGGTCGGCGATGCTCCATTTTGACCGAGCAGCGTTGCGGACATGAAGTATGCGTAAGAGAGGGGTGCAAAAAGTCCAAATCACGTGCCCCCGCGATTGCGCGTAACCTTGGAACTTCCGCCGCGACGCGTCTGCGCAACCACCAAACTTCATCCCACCATCACAATCTCAACGCACCACACCAATACAATTGTACTACGCCAACATTAGCCAGACCCTCGGCACAAGTCACTACATAAGAGTAATTCCACGATATCACAATGGACCACCCCCAAACCCCGCGCATCCTCGCCCCGCACCTGCAAACCTTCCAACACCGCATCGTCCGCGTCCTGGGCAAAGTCGTGCAACTGCGCGGCGAAACGGCGATTATTGATGCTGGTGGACATATCGATGTGATTCTGACACGGGTACGTAATGCTAAAAACCTCTTCCTTTCTGTATTACCACTTGTTGCCATTTCGCCGTGCGGCCATCGAGTTTCGGCATTCGGATATGGAACGTAACGTTATGAAGGGGTCAAGAGAGGATATTATTGTTGTGTACTAATCTCTTGGATTATGTTAGGATTCCCATCTCGCCGTCGGTCACGCCGTCGAGATCATCGGCAAAGTAGACCAGAATCTGCATATCAAGGTACAAGCTGCCACGGATTTCGGAACGAGTATCGGTATGTTATGAATCTTTCTCTCCCTCTTCTTGTATGCCAGAGAACACGGCTGATGGAGAGCGAATCAGATTTCAATGCTGCGAATGCTGTCGTCGAAGCGACGCACCGGTATAAGGAGATATTTTACGATGGGGAGTGAAGATGGTAAGATGAGGCAGGGAGATTGAAGGATCTGGGTTTGAGAGGATTTGTTTCAACGGCGGGAATGGGCGGAACGGTTTCAGCGCTGAAGTACCGCAGAGACAGACTGGGATGTCATGCATCACGAATAAAAATGACGTAGAAAGTGTCTGGTACATGTACATTGCCGTGTAAACCACAGCACCAAATCCCCATATAAAGATCTAGATAGGTATCGCGCAAAACTCCATTCCATGCGCCTAGCCCCAGCTCGCCATATTCCCATCCATAACAAAACGCTAAATCATATACTCCCCAAGTACCGCTACAGTAACTTCATCACAGCTTACTCCGCACGCCCTCAAGCCGAAACTTGACATCCTTCAGCTGCTTCCCTGTCGGCTTCCATTCCTCAAACATGCCCAGCAATTCTTCTACTTCTTTGCCAAGCTCTTTCTTGACGAAATCTTCTTCCAGCAAGCCACGCATTGCCCAGGGTAAGAAGAAGGGATTCGGATTCGCGCTTGAAGCCGATGGCTCGTAGTCTTTGACTCGTAGCTTGTACAAGTCCTTGACATCGGCCTTTTCGCCAATGATCGGGATGTTGATGCCCTGGAAACTGCCTCCGGTGTTTGGACGTTCCTTGGGCGGGGTAGGGAGGGATGTTGTTTCGAGCGCGTGTTGGACTGCAAGAGCGTACACGGCTGGGTCTTCGTAGACGCGGGAATGCCCTTCGCCGCCGTACAAAGAGCCGGCGAGCGCGGGTGACAGCTCGCGAATGAGGCCGTGGTCTGGGAGGCCGAGATTGCGGAGTTTGAGCGCGAAGCCTACGAGGTGGATCAGGAAGTCGGGCGCGTGGATGCGGCCGTCGACGAAGACAGCGCGGTAGATGTACGGGTGCGAGAGGGTTGAGAATGTTGAGGACTGTGATGTGTGAGTAGGTAGTTGCATGATGTGGATTGTCTGACTTACTTCGAGCGACACAAGTTGGTCATCAATGCTACCGACGTAGAATATACGGACGCCGAATCTCAATACCTCATCCAGCGCCGCGAGATACATTTGGCTGACCAGACTCTTCGGGTTGCTGAACTCGAAAAGCTCAGCAGCGGTCGGTCCAAAGTATTTCGTCTTATACTCGATGAAAGGACCCATGTTGACACCGGCCATGGCGCATATCCCAATTCGCGTCGCGTTGACGCAGCCAAATTGAATGAGTTTCGCAACCAGCATCATGGCCACTGGAACACCTTGCGAGTGGCATGCAACAAGAATGAAATCAGCCTGCTTGATATGATCGATCCAATTCAATAGCAATTTCCAGAGTGTGTTGACGCGCTCAGCGATGAAGCCCTCTCCCTCGAGAGCAATCTGCTCAATCTCTGGCGAATATCCACGAGCTTCGGTCCAGTCTTTGATGGCTGCCGCTGCCGCATTCGCGAATCTGATCGAAGTACCTGTAGGCTGTCCGAGCACTTTCTGGATAA